AACTTATACATATTAATCATATCCCCTCTGAGCCGTCTCTTCTCCAGAGAAAACAGGCCCAGCTCACTCAGCCTCTCTTCATACAAGAGATGTTCGAGTTTGAGCCCAACCGTGTCTTTATGAAAAGAAGTCAAATATTGTAAGGCCATCAGCAGCGAGGCCAAGGCATGAATCATTAACCAAGTCTGACCACAGTGTCTCAGCCCAGCAGGCCGGATTAGTGCTGAATCACAGTGACAGGATAGGACTGGGGAGGTCTGTGCTGGCACTTCAGCCTTCGGGACTGTCAGCCCAATACCTGCTCATACTGAAAACAAGCAGCCAAACGACCACATAGCCCTGTCCAAGGCAACAGCACTGACTGCAGCACCACTTACCTGCTTTCCAATATCCTCAACCTCATGGTCATATACTGTTTAGCAAAACCTCTGGCACACTTAGGTCAGGCTCAGCTACCATAAGGCATAGAGCATCTGCTCTTGGAGCAAGGGGACACTGTTAGAGATTCACTTTGTTGGTAGATTTTACCCTCCAATTCCAGTCAGGAGTCATCTCACAAATGGTTAGATAAGGTAAGCAAGGCTAGAAAGCACTTAATATACAGTATTAGAGAATATACTGTGAAGAATAGATTACAAAGCCAAAAAGGAACAGTGCCAGCATGGTTAAGGGGAATCTGCCACTCCGTGTTTATGATTCAGACTGATCATGTCTTGCCCATTTGTCTTTCTACAAATTCAAACACTCCGAGAAGACCTGTCTGCACTGAAAAAAAGTGGACATTTAACTCTCTTCTAGGACTACCTTACCAATAGCAAAGTTTTGAAATTGCTCTTCCAATAGAATGCACCTATTTTTAAAAACAGCTAATTTCATAACCAAGTTTGCTTTTGCTTCCTACCTCATAAAAATCAATGACTAAAGTGCCATCTACTGTGTCTATATTTAAATGCAGTATTTTCACAGACAACAAATGGAAGCTAGTGCCAAAAACACCATGCAGAAATAATTCATCCGCACGATCCCCTGCCTTCACTTCTGTCCACAGTGTAGATTGATGCAAACATTACATTGAGCAGACGAAGCTGTCACCTTTGAGATTTGAGATGAGTTGGAATCCAACTTGATTCATAAAGCATATCTTCAGACTATCACTATAAGTAAAAAAGTTAAAGAAAAGCATTCCCAACTCCACTTCTCATGCAGATGAAATTATTCTGCTGTTAAAAATGTTTATCTTTTTTTTTTTTTTGCATTCTCTCATAAGATGAGTGAAATCAGATATGGAAGAGGCCTATAGCGAGCATCAGAAGAGCAGCATTTGCCAGAAGCCACCAGACAACTACAATGGCAGTAACTCTGCATTCTGCTACACCAGGGTTTGGAATAGAGAACATGGGGGATCTGCAAAACTTTCAGATTAACAAATCATGTCTTAATTGCATTGCTTTATTGGGGCAGAATTCCAACACTTCTCTTGTAAAGAATTTTCCTATAGGAAGAGGATACAAGTAGGAAGAGTACAGCTTGGAATTATTCATGTAACATACCCTTCATTGCATTTCATCCACTGTTTGCTATTTCATGACATACAGAATTATGCTCCAAAACCGTTTACCTTCAGTGGTCAAAGGAGCAACAAATGTCCTCGTGATGCAGTATTCAAGTCTGCTGGTGGATTCCTTTCACCTATTACATTTCTTTTTCCATCACTCTCTATGAAAAAGGACTCATGGAAGCCAGCCCTTCCCCTTCTTTTCTCCAGGCTCCTCAATATTCAGAGCAAGATAAGAGCTGCAGCCAAGAGCAAGCCCTAGAGCAGTTTTGTTGGTAGACTGGGCCTTTTGGGGGACAGTGGGAGAGGGCTTTGAGCTTCTACCACTCGCTTATTCTGCTGCAAGCGCAGACAGGGGGAAGCAAATGAAACAAGGCCCAGGGCCACAGAGCTATAACCTCCTGCTGCAAACCCAGCTCCCTCCACTTAAAACAGACACAAGAAATGAGCAGAGAAAGCCTCTCCCCGATGTGAGCACAGCTTTTTCCAAAACAGCTCCCTCTCCAGCTCCACTGGCACGCAGAGAGCAATGATACACAATCCTCTACAAAGCAAGACAGCCACTCCCTCATTATCGCCACAGCCAACCACAAATACTGAAAGATTTTTCATTTCCAGTAGACTGCAAACCTAGAGAAGATAAGAGGCTGTATCCAAATGCCATCCATGTTTCAGCATTCCTCTGAATATTGATCTTTTCATTCAAACATATACACGGTTATCAAGTAACAGGGAGACTTCATCCAGACTAATAAAATATAAAATGTCGCCTCCTACTTGTGGGTTCCAAAATAAACACCACAATCAGCATGTGAGATTAAATTAAACTTCACTTCCAAGCTAAACACTGTGTCATGCACACAGTGCAGGGTTTAAAATACCACAAATATTCTGCAGGGGTCACAAGGTACATGCAGGCAAACATAAGACCAATTTATAGCAGGAAATTTGGCAGGGAGTTATGGAAGGGATGGAGGCTTGCTATTTTGCAGGAAAACTAGTACAATGTGGTGCACACCTGGGTCTCCTTCAGCACTGATTGAGACTCCTTCTGAAGCGGCACACAGCGAGGAGGGGGTTCCTCTGCAGAGCTCAAAACCAAATTACTCTGATGTAGTTTAACGCCTGTTTGTAACGGCACCAAGCTATGAATACTCAAGTGTTTGGTCTGAGCTGAAAACAGCCCTTTCACCTATCAGCTGTGTTTTGGATTTCACGCTCATTGCCTGAGGGTTCACAGCTGGGAATTACATGCAGGTCATGTGAAAAACTCTGCCTTTAAAATACTTCCCGGTTCTCATTCAGAGGGACACATTTCAAATAGTCTTTTATGTGCCCCATCTTCAGCTAAATTCAGCTTACACAGAGAAGCTCTGGTGCACCGAAAGCAGAGATGTCCATGCGATGGCCATTCTCTCCCCACGCACCCTGGCCAAGGGTGCTCCCCACTCCTCCATCTTCGGGTCCTTGCCCGGTCCCACCACTGCAGCTCAGGCTGCTGCAGCTCCAGCTCTGATTCCACAAGATGCTCTGGCCGCAGAGCACAACTTTGCTATTCCAAAGCCAGTCTTGTCATTAGCCTGCCAGCAAAGCTCAGCTTGAATTTACCATCCTTTTGACCATCCTTTTTGACTTGAACCTCTGAGCACCAAAATCTCACATGAGGCTGGTAAGAGCAGAGAATGATAGAGGTCACATATACTCTGGGAGCAACGGATCAAAACAGTCACTTTGTTGGCCAAGAGCCAACACGAGCTCTGTTGAACAAGGCGCCTTCCCCTTTTGGATGATGAACAGGCACCACCTCGTGGTTGCTCACGCTAAAGGAAAAGCTTAAACGACCACCAGGAGTGGCTTGAGTACAGCCAATTGCCAAGGCTGTTCATGGGAACAGAGGTTTATATAATAAATAAGAAAATATTACTAATTATCAGGTATTAAGAGTATTTTGCAGCTAAAAATGCATTCTGCATAAACACGAATAGTTAAGGTCTTATTGTATTTAAGCTCAAAGTGAATACTGAAGTTGGTCCTAAGCTAGTCCAACTATGCCAAATCTCAGAGGGAATTCAGCCCACAACGTGCAGTAACGGGCTTCTCCATTAACTCACCTATATTCCTCATTCCTCAGCAAGCACTGAGGAGACATTATAAACTGCTGCAAGGACCTAGCCTAATTCATAACTAATAATTTGGACCATATATTTTCCTCTAATGAGCCACATGAAAAAGTCACAATTTAATTAGGTGCAGTGCAAACATGCAGCCCACTGCCTTCGTCTGAAATAAAATACCTGAAGTGGCCATACAAGAGTACGCTGGCAATTAGAATTACATTACAGTACATAATTTCAGATAATAAGTAAATAATATTTCATTAGAATCGTTCGTCCACAGAGCTTTCCAATAAAGCTTCTTTTTCCTGTGCAAGTTAAAACTTGGGCCACAGGAGATATTAGTTACCAGAGCCAAGAGCAGAATCTAAGTGACTCTGGTTTAGTGTCTGGCCACCAGCAAATGGGTCTTCCTATCAGAAATTCCTAAACACATTTAGGAAGTTATTGATGGCATTGAAAATGGGTAACAGAACACACTTCAGAAAATCCAAATCCTGAATACTCAGAATGTGCTGAAAACACAAAGTACCTGCAATTGCTTTTTTAAAAGTTAAATCATTCCATTTATATATCATCTCCATATTCCACCAACATTGTCAACATTTACACAATTTATACACAACATGCAACTAAAAAAAGAACTTAAAATACGTTTGTAGTTCTTGAAAATCTATAATTAGCATCATTTTTTGTGCAAATGCCAACTTCTCCATGTCTGAGATTATGAAGAAAAACTGGATTATAATGAGGTATAGCATAGGGAATTAATTCTGTCTCCAGGTTCCGATGACTCAAAATTAATTCCTGTAGTTTCAATGTAAGGTGAAACAACTGGTTGGTAAATCACCTGCCATCCCTGTATTTCACCACATTCCTTCAGAAAGCACATCTGAAAACCTCTAGTTCAGTCTTTCCTCCAAACAGCTGAAAAACACACTTGCAGTCCCATTAATGAGTTCCAAAGAGAGGGACAGAGGAGCCACAGGTAGATGTTCAGCAGCAGGACCCTTCAGACAGGCTCAAGCACCACGGACTCCTTCACTTAAGTGGTCTCAACCGTTTGCTCCCATCACAGCAGAGTCCTCTGTGCTATTCCAACAAAATACTTGTGCATCAGCATCAAACTGAAGAAACTGAATGTGACAGAATAGGATTTGCCTTCAACAAGGTCTCAAAAGATTGAAGAAATATCTGGAAAAAAAGGGGGATGCAAAATTTAAGAAAGGATAAGCACAAGCAGTTACAATAAAGAGAGAACAATTAGTAACACAAGAGGACTACACACACACACAAAAAGATCATGGGGTTATGGCAGAATGCACGACAATGAGTCAATATGCTAGCACATGGTGTTCAGGTGAACTTACTCAGCAATAAATTGAAAGTTCACTTTTCAGCCAGATCATTTCTGCACATCTCTGTATAGGTGCACAAACAACTATACAGTTGTAACAACAAAAGCCTGCAATAGAAAAACAGCACTGTCAGAGTCACCAGAGAAATTTTACCTTCAGATCACAAATATACAACAGCAGTGAGTCCAGGACTGTGGAGCCCAGGCTGAACTTGTCAGCCACCCACATTTTCCTGCCAGCTGACCAAGATAATGCAAGTGCATTCACTTCAGAAATGAACAAGCCCTAAGAAATTCAGCAGTGATTCACAGGCACTGTAAACTGACTGAATATTCAGGCAACTGTTGTAAAGAACACAGATAACATCTCTTTGGTCTTCAACAGGCAACAGACCTAAGTCATGCCACCTCCAGGCTTGAATAATGTCACCCTCACCATTTGCAACAACTCCGCCCTCGATATAGGTAGTAGATTTAATACTGGGAATGGTATAAGATGACAGTGCTCTGAATACATCTTCAAACTGAATTCTTATCACCTCCTTAGAGGAAAGGAGAGAACCTAGTGAAAGAAATAACAACCAGTCCCAAAGCAAGACTCAGGATCCCTCTGATGCTGCTCTCAAGAGGCATAGGAAAAGCCCAGGAAAAAGAAAACCTGTCTTACCTTTAAAGTAAGACAGATTTCTCAATTGCTTCATACAATAGATGAACTACGGATAAATTACAACCACAGTGAAGACTGTGCAAAAGATCAGATAGGTTTCAGCAGTGCCAGGTTTTACTTCCTATTGCTTTCAAGTTTGGTGAAGGGGAGGAGTGTCAGTTTTGTTTCCATTTCAGTACCAGCAAGACAAGCCATGAGCTGCTCACTCTATGAGTGTCTTACAAATACTTCCATTTAACAAAAAAACATGTCATCTTTACTTTCCTGCTAGAACTTGCATGAGCCTACTCTAGGACAGTGGATTCCAAAGAAATTTTTATTAACGCTAAATGATTTGCCCATCAGTACAGTGCATGCTACTGTATGTGTGCAAAGGGATGCAAATTGCCACCAGCATTCAATGTCCTGCAATATATCACACAATTATCATTTAAACATAAAAGAAATTTGCAGGTAAATGACAATTCTTAACTTTAAAGAAACTAGGGAAGCTTATCTTTGAAGAAACTAGGGAAGCTTCATGTCTCTGTACAGTAACCACTAATAACTCTACAGACTTGAAACTAGACAATGCAACATTTGCAGGAACAAGTTACATTTTCATGGGACCAAATGACATGCAGGCTTTCCCAGGGCCTCTTGCAGCCATCAGGGACCAGCTCTCCTCCTTCATGACTAGATCACCCCCAGGGGTCAGTTCTCGGTCCGGTCCTGTTCAACTTATTCATTAACGACCTGGATGAAGGGCTGGAGTGCTCCCTCAGCAAGTTTGCCGACGATACCAAACTGGGTGGAGTAGCTGATAGCCCTGAGGGCTGTGCTGCCATCCAGAGGGACCTGGACAGACTGGAGGACTGGGCGGCGAGAAACCTCATGAGGTTCAACAAGGGCAAGTGCAAGGTCCTGCACTTGGGGAGGAATAACCCTGGACACCAGTACAGATTAGGGGTGGACCTGCTGGAGAGCAGCCCCGCAGAGAGGGACCTGGGTGTCATGGTGGACGACAAGTTGACCATGAGGCAGCAGTGTGCCCTGGTGGCCAAGAAGGCCAACGGGATCCTGGGGTGCATTAAGAAGAGCGTCTCCAGCAGGTCGAGGGAAGTGATCATCCCCCTCTACTCAGCCCTGGTGAGGCCACATCTGGAGTACTGCGTCCAGTTCTGGGCTCCCCAGTACAAGAGGGATGTGGAGCTGCTGGAGAGAGTCCAGCGCAGGGCTACCAGGATGATCAGGGGCCTGGAACATCTGCCCTATGAGCAGAGGCTGAGAGAGCTGGGTCTGTTCAGCCTGGAGAAGAGGAGGCTGAGGGGGGACCTGATCAGCGTGTATAAATACCTCAAGGGAGGCAGTGAGGAGGAGGGGGGCGGCCTCTTTTCAGTGGTGAGCAGGGATAGGACTAGAGGAAATGGCTTCAAACTGAAGCATCGGAAGTTCCACAGGAACTTAAGGAAGCATTTCTTCACTGTGAGGGTGACAAAGCACTGGAACAGGCTGCCCAGAGAGGTTGTGGAGTCTCCTTCTTTGGAGATCTTTAAAACCCGCTTGGATGCAGCCCTGTGCCACGTGCTCTAGGTGACCCTGCTTGAGCAGGGGGGTTGGACTCGATGACCTCTGAGGTCCCTTCCAACCTTCGGCATTCTATGATTCTATGATTCTATGATAATGAAAGAACAGCACCCCTCCCTACCCATCTTTCTTCACATTAGCCTTAGCTCATCACAGCTACAGCTCCCAAGTAGGAAGCAGATTTCCTGCAGCTGACTACAACATTCCAGTGATTAAAATCTTCAGAGATCCTAGGATGTGTCAGTACATGGGTTATTGAAAAACTCACTGATACAACGTTGTACCTCCAGCTATAGCTGCTGACAGAAGCACATGACAGGAACTGAGTCCATGTGTATTTTTAGAGCTCAAGAACAAAACCTGTATGAGGGTTTTTATCTTTCACACCACATCACCAGCCAGACATCTTTCCGTGGTAAGATGAAGTTTGTTTTGCTTGAGGCTTACTCTTCACCTACAAACTAATGGACCAAAAAAGCAACAAAGCACCAGCAATGGGGCAGAAAAAGGAACAGAAACCAATTGCAAATTATAGTTTGCTTAAAAATACTAATGGCTTTCATATGATTTCTTAAGACTACCTCAAAACTCAGATACTGAATTACCAAAAGGAAGGCAATGCGCTACTGAAAGGCAGTTAAGAGTTGCCCACCCTTCACAGGGCAGCTGAGTAGCACAATTGATTAATTATCTAGTATTTCTTTGGATATTCTCAATATCCAAACAACATTACAGCTGCAGAACCCCAAATTTACATGACTATCAATTAGAGCTCCACTTAGCAGAAGTCACAAGGGTATCTATGACACGCACACGCGTCTCATCTCATCACAAGTTTGCATGTTTTCTATTTCAGCTCCAGGACGCTCTGTAATTTTACTAGCGCCAGGTCCCCATTTTTAAGAAGTTCTTACCTTGCAGCTGCATTGCCAACTCTGAACAAGTTGGTGACGTTTACAGACATTACATTCTAGTAACTGCAAACCAAGATGACATTGCTATCAAATCTCTCATTTTCTGGTCATTCACAAGTCTACCCCACCTATCACCTCCTTATATTTGGAAGGGTCTATGAAGAGAGGCAATGACTAAGCCTTTTGGAAGCAGCAAGGACCAGTCACAGGGATCAAAAAGAAACATTACAGGCTTCTGCACAAATTATTTGCCCTTGAGAGAAGAAACATCACGATCACTGCTAATTACTCCTTCAGAAAAAAATGCAAAGGCAGCTTCAAACAGTATTAAAAATAGCAGTGCTTAATGGCAGTTTATAAAAAGCACACTAAATAAAAAAGGATATCCAAAAATGAGTAGAGGAGGGATATTCTTTCAAGCTAATCCCATTGAGGACCAATCCAACCTTAGAAAAACAAACAAGATTATTTAGGGCAAGTGAACTACTGGCCTGGTAGCAGCCTGGTCTGCTACCAGTCTATAACAACCCGTGGTGATAGTGGCCTTTAGGTGCAGAACGAGGAGCTGCAGCCTCGGGGGGCTGAGGGCAGCCTGGCTGGTGGGCACCAACCTCAGCAGCCCCGCGGTGAAGCTGGGAGGCTGTGGGCACGCGGCGGGTCCACGCGCCACAGGCCAGTACACAAAATGCAGTTTCCTCACTAGCTCTGCATTTAACAGGACGGCAAAGATTTCATTCCATACAACTAGCATAGCACACAGACATTTACCATATGGAAGTTTCGTATTAAGATGAATAGATTTCCTATGCCACAATTAGGGAAAAAAAGCAAGTATCAATCCAGAGTGGTGTTTGGCACTGGAAGGTACTGGAACTAAGGAGCAAAGAAAAGCATTCCCATAGAAATCACAGTGGTGCTGCAGCAGTAGTGAACGCTTCTTAAACGGAACAACAAAAAATATGAAGCTGTAAATATATTCAGAATTTCTAATGCAATTACACCACCAATATTTTACATGATTGTTGCAATCAACACAGTTCAGGCAAAAGAAACAGAGGAAAATGCCACAGGCCAAGTAACTTAAATCAAGATTATTGAATAATCACCTAGAACTGAACTTACAGTCTTGGACAATTTTCTAAGTTCTCTCAAAAATTTCCTCTTAGCAGCAGACAGAAACCAGGAGCTGGAGATAACCACAAGCTACAGACTTGTTTAGCAGCAGCTGCAAAACCTTGGCTAATGGCTTAGCCATTGCATGCTGACAGAGGGATATAAAACTATTAATAATGAAGGAATGCAAGCATGTTATGAACTGTACCAGCTATTTTATGGATGGTTATACACTTCATTCTGAATTTTAGCATAGATAGAAATTCCATGGTTTGAAAATCTACTATTCAGCACAGTTTATGACCTCAACTATAATCCGTTACGCATGGGTATGTTACAACTTTATAATGCATATATTACAAACGCAGCATATTTTGACACATTTTAAAAACAGAACATGCAGACTAAAGCCAGGACACTTAGAGGTGCAAAAAAATCCTCATCAACACAAAGATGGGTGGTAACCTGGGATTTGATCACCTTTAGTGAAAGTAAAAAGCATTTTAATGATGATACCTAAAACCTTCATAGAGCTGTTAAAGTAACAAATAAAAATAAAAATGCTCGAGCACCTAAT